CCCGCGAAGACCTATCCCTACACGCTAGATCGATCCAGTCTGAGGCTGTATCCTGTTTGGAACGCAGTGAGTCGGTAAGGCCCACACTGTGATGGGGGCTATGTCGTAGGGATGCTGGTGGGTAGGTACTTGTGTCGGCGCATACGTCGGCTGGTAAGACTACAGTGGCTGAGTACGCCATTGCTATGAGTATGCGGGACAATCAGAGAGTTATTTACACGTCCCCTATCAAGGCGCTGAGGTAGGGTGGTGAAGCTCTGATGTGACGGAAGTGTGGTATTGAGCTTGGTGTTCTCAGTAACCAGAAGTATCGTGATCTCGCTGATGAGTTTGGCAGTGATGTTGGTTTGATGACAGGGGATGTAACCATCAACCCTAATGCGAGTTGTATGATTATGACCACTGAGATTCTGAGGTAGGCCTAGTCTACCGGAAGGGGATCTTATAGGGTGCTTGCCAGGTCCATGCTGTATCGAGGAAGTGACGTTTGTCGGGAAGTGAAGTGGGTCATATTCGACGAGGTGCATTACATGAGGGATAGGGATAGAGGCGTTGTATGGGAGGAGACCATGTACTGATGTGTAGGATGGATGGTATGGCAAACTTTGTCCCATCAGGATCCTCTTACCTGATACAGTACGTTTCGTCTTCCTCTCGGCTACTATACCCAATGCGAGGGAGTTCGCTGAGTGGATTTGCCGTATTAAGCACCAGCCCTGCCATCTGATCTACACTGACTACAGGTTTTATCCACTCTAGGTCGAGTCCTTGGCCGAGCTGTTCTCTTCCTCAGGCCGGTGCCGCTACAACACTACGTGTATCCTTCTATGGGGGATGGAGTCTATCTCACTGTCGATGAGAAGGTAGTAGTAGTAGTAGTAGTAGTAGTAGTAGTAGTAGTAGTAGTAAGGAGGGGTTATCGTTGTTGTTATGGTCGTTATCGTGATCAGGGCAAGTTCCGAGAGGATAACTACGGGAAAGCCGTTGAGATATTAGAGAAGAATACTGAACAGGCCTCTCAGAGCACCAAGGGTAGTAGTAGTAGCCATAGTCCTAGTGCCAGTAGAAAGGTAACGGCTCGTATTTAGGTTTGAAGAGTAATAAGAAGAAGCAACAACAGCATACTAAGAACAGCGATCTCCTCAAGGTCGTCAGGATGTGCTCTGATCGCGCCTATCTACCGGTACAACAGCTCATTCACGACTCCTAGGCATGCCCCTGTCTCTCCTAGGTGATAGTGTTCGCATTCAGCAAGAAGGAGTGCGAGCAGAACGCCCTAGTCTTGCGAAATATCGATCTCGTTACACAGGATGAGAAAGCCCTTATTGGGGATGTCTTCGAGAATGCTATGGCGACCCTGAGTGAGTTCTCGGGGCTCACTTAAGTCGCTCGTTGTGTAGTTCTTGGAGGGTTCGTATGATGGTAGGTCCTGAGGACAGAGAGCTGCAGCAGATCCAGTCCATGCTGGGTTTCCTCTC